AGTTACTGTCAGCTTCAAAATTACATAATATTCTTCCGTTGTGAAGCTTATAGTTCGGAAAGTCCAAGAGCTTGATGATCGATATCAAAAAAACCAATCTTGTAAAGATCATCAGGTGATTCTAGGGTCATAGTGGACGAATGTCACATTCTTAAGAATTATCTCCCGTTGTCAGTGTAACGCTATATATCCTGTGGAATCCGGATAGTATTGAATCAGGATATGACAATTTAGTTCACAATCGCATCATCGCACCATCGAGGATTGAAACGATATAACGATGACGCGATACTGCGATGACTATGAAGCAATGGTGCCCTCATGACCCTTTATTCGATGATCGATGGTGTGATAGTGAACTAAGTGGCCCTCTCCTTTCCGGATCCCATATTATGCTGATGCATGGGTCGTATGGCTTAAAGATATATATATATATATATATATATATATATATATATATATATATATATATATATATATATATATATATATATATATATATATATATATATATATATATATATATATTACAGCAGTATATCTACATCGAAAGCATTGAGCAAGACCATTTTGACTGAAACTAATATCCCAACACAGGATGGTATGTTAGATAGGTTTCACTCTTTTTCAGAAAAAAAGGCCAAAAAAAATGTTCCCGTGACAATCAAGGGCGGATATATTTCTGCACCCGTTTTTGTAATCTTAATCTTAAGCTGGATCCCATAATAATTTTTAAAAAGTAATTTGTTAAATTTCCAGAACAAAATATTGAAAGACATAACCTTTCTGGAATTAGATTCATTCTTTTCAAAAGGTATTTTATCATAACATAAAGTTGAACAAACATTAAGATTATTACATAATTTATTTTTATTTGTTTTTAAGGAGGAATTCTTCTCATATTTCTTGTATTTGAGAATTGATGAAATTTTCATAGATTCAAGAAGACATTATCACGAAGTGATGGTATCAGTTAGATTGAATTTGACCGTTTTATTTACAAGCAAGGTCAGGTCAAGGTCATTATTTTTTTTCCTTGACATTTAGATAAAAAAATTACTGTTGCTTATCATGTGATGCCTACTTCTATTTTAAAAATTAAAATGTTTTTCTTTTTACACAAAAAGATCTTACCATATCGGGTCTATCAGATGATTCTACCAAATTAATTGACATAATGTAGCTAAAAGAGATATTGGCTAATCCGAATTTCCTCTGTATTAATGTTTCAGGATATATTAGTTATTTTTATATACTTCTTACATGTATATTTAAATATTTCTTATTTTCACATATGGTAAAGTCGTCATAGAAATATACAAAATGATATGAAAACAAAAAGCTTTGACCGTTTAGTAAGAGAGAAAAAACACTTTTTACTGATTTTTTGCTCAAATCTACTTTAGATCTGAAGCTTTCAAAAGCTAACAAAATTGTAGTTTGTTTAGAAAATTATTATTATTTGCTATAGTTTAAAACTTCAAAATTTCTTTAAGTCTTTAAGTCCTTGATTGTTTAAAAAAAATCACTAAATGTATTGTTCCGTAAGGGATTTTGATAGGCAGAAAAGGAGATATTTTCATATGCCGCAGTTGCATCAATAATATAGTCCTTGCTGGATTTCAAACTCAGTTTACCATTTCTATTTAAAATTGTACAATTATGATGAGTAAAGAAAAATATGATCTTTTAAGTACATTACAGCTACGTATAAAAGACATAGAAGCAAATATACTTGGATTATTTTGTCTAGTCAGAAACCAGAGAAGAATCCCTCCTGAAAGGGAAAAGAAACAAAAAAGAACAGGCCTTAAAGGGGCATAGACACAGATTTGAAGTTAATATTTTCTCAAATTTTCTGCATTATATCATGACTTATATCTTTATAAAGCATTTCACACAGAAATATAAATAAAAAAAACTTACTTTATCTGGAAATTAATGAAACTACGAATTCCGGGATGCTTTTGATTGACATATCCTTGCACTTTCACAAAGTAAACTTTATTCTTAATACTTAAGAAAAGTAGAAATTTTGTTGTGTATTAATGAACAAAATTTAAGATATACCGAAAGGAAAAAGAAACGCAGGGTAAACTTTTGAAGTGAATTAATGCTATATTTTCAAAGGTATTTTTCAGTATTGTTATATATCATTTAAACTTATCTTTAATGAACAAGTTACCAAAATCTCATTTGATTTTGACTGATAATTCATAAGTTATTGCATTTTATATGACGGTACCCCCTAAAAATGAAAATAAAAATTCGCAATATTTCTCCCGCGCGTCTATAAAAACCTTGATTTTCCTTTGCATGAAGTTCATCAGAGCATTTATCTTTCTCAAAGGGATATTTTTCAACCCTTCCGATAGGACAGCCCCTTGTTTGTGAAGATTAGCAGGGCTTACCGACGTCTTCAAACCCTAGCGCCCAGTTAGTCTCACAGATTTTCAATTGGAAAAAAGATAAAATTTACGGATGCCAGTTGATTTGGTAAATGTGAATATTTTCGAGAAAGTCTTGAAAAACTCCGACAACATTTTCCTGGGGTTGAACATGCTGAATAGTTAGGCTTACGACGTACGCGAGTGAGATTATCACCGACGTAAGGTTGACAAGCTCACGGACTAAAAAGGAGCAATGGATTTCTTTCAGTATTAGAGTGAAGGTAAAGCTTATGATTGTTTGCTGTATTTGAATCTGTTTCAGTGGTAATACCGTGGCGATTACACAGGTGATAGGATGAAAAACCTTATTAAAAACCTCAATGTTACGCGCCAACGTCACCGTCACGGTTGGTTGGAAACCATTCCTGTTTCTCTCTAACAACGGGTAAAATGTTCTATGGTGGAAAATTAGTAACAAACTGCACAGCAACATGTTGTTGCATTTTCTTCACATAGGCAATTCAATAACTAGACCCCATGGGACTTCCATCAGCCGTACCATGATTACTAGAAATTCATATCGACTGTAAATACTGAAAAACTATGTGTATACCTCCAGTGCATCAAGTAGTACTATAAAATCTGACATCATCAATATGCACGTGTTTTTGGTGTTTTACCACTTTTCCTACCTGACGTCATACATTTCACGGTTGAGTAACTTTAAACATCGATTTTAGTGCACTGTAACCAAGATATACCTCTGACGAATTTTCATAATTTTTGGTCACTAAGTCAAAAAAATTTTATATATCATGTTACCCTGCGTTTCTTTTTCCTTTCAATATATAATCCAGAAAATTTAGAGTAGAAATGTGAGAAAGCAAAACCATCTCACTAGTATTGCCAGTCTGTACTCAGTGATGTGTGCAGTGTTTAACAAAGTGAACACACCCGATGGAATGTCAACTGTTTAGTAAACAGGGCACGAGCTCTTTTTTTATTTTAATGGTTACGTCCCTTTAAGGTTGAGTGCATTTGCCTAAATAATATTATAAAAAATCGCGATCATTTAAACACCAAATTACATGTAAAGGAATCAGTATAATGTTCCCAAGCATTGCTCTTCACTGAACCAAAACAAGATACGACTGCACCTTACATTGACATGGAAATCTTTTCTTGATGCTCCATGATTGAATGATATTCAATGTGTAACTTGTTTGGTGGGTTTTATCCTCCGAACATTACGAAAAATCGTTCATATTTTGTATATGACAGGTAAGCATTTCGCTTTATTTTGTTGTTTTTTGGGGGGTTTTTTTCCTCATTTTCATATTAAATATTTTCTTTAATTTTCATTCGAAAATAATTCAGGATATTTATTTCATTTTTTTTTTATATAGAATTCTTTTCATATCATTTTTGGTGGAGGGGAGGTGACAAGTTCAAAATGGCAATATAAATTCAATTAGTATATATAGTTTCCTGGAGAATGATATATACGTCACCAGTAATATGCACTTATAAGTACAGACATGCAAAGGTCAATGATCGGTAATTCTTCATGAAGGCGGAAACTATGGTGTCCCGAAAGGGCCATTTGCAAAAGTGTAACAGCGCGTTAGGAACAACGCGCTAACGCAAAGTGGCAACAAGCAAGCGCGTTCACAAAGGAATGGCGCATTGTCACTTTGCGCTAGCGCATAGTCACTTGCAAAAGTGCAACAATGCGTTAGTACCAACGCATTGCGAACAACGCGTTAGCGCAAAGTGACAACGCGCCGGCGCGTTGTTTACAACACGCCGTCGCGCTAACACAACAACACGTCGTCACGCTAAGGCAATTTTACACAATGAATTGTGTGTTAGCGCAACGGCGTGCTGTGTAAAGTTGCTTTAGTGTGGAAGCGTGTTGTATGTTAGCGTGACGGCGTGTTGTGTATTAGCATGAAGGCGTGTTGTGTGTTAGGCGACGACGTAGGTTGTGTAAAGTTGCGTCATCGAGATGGTGTTGGATGTATTAGCGCAACGTGTGTGTTGTGAACAACGCACTAGCGCGTCGTCACTTCGCGCTAGCGTGTTATTCCTAAAGCGCCCTTTTCCGTGATTGTATCGAGGGATTCCATTGTACAAGTCTGTTGTAAGAAATCCTGACCTCTTGACCCACTAAAACAATGTTATTGCCGTGCTTGTTATATGATTATCATGTATGACAGAGTGATATTTATTTAAAATACTTTTTCTAAAGGAAAATAACTTCTTATTCTCTTCAAAAATAGAAGAATTTAACTTGACTTAGCCCAAAAGTGGTATTTTCATAGTTTAAAAACGTTTCTATCAAAAGTAAGAAAATACTTAAGCTATTTCAAAAAATTACAGTTGAACTTCGGTATCTCGAACACCGATATCTCGAATACCATGTATATGTCGAATTGATTTGGAAGTCCAAACCACTTATTCTTTAAGTATTTTACCCTGGATATCTTGAATCCTCGAATATCTCGAAGTTTTCTATCGGCCCCATCGAGTTCAGGATAACAAAGTTCCACTGTATTTTAATTAAATATCACTCTGCCACAATTGCTTTATAATTTTCTAAGGTATTCAAAATTCCTTTGGGAATCAATAAGCACTTCTAGAGGCAAGAAAAGCGGCTCACATTTTAAAATACGTTCATGGTTTGGATAAAAAACGAGCAACGGAGAGTACCAAATGTCAAGAAAGGTAACAGACATGACTGCAAAGAACATCATGATGAGTTTTCAGTTGTTCGAGGGGATCCGAACGGATGATGGTAAGAAGAGAATGCAAGCACTTTTATTAGTTGATTTGAGAAGTTGCAATTAGAAATATAAAGAAAGACAATTGAAAATTTGATTACTTCTACCATTTTGAAACTCGTTAAATTTAAGAATCTGGGTAAGGGATTTCTGATCCTCAACAAATCTCTCTCTCTCTCTCTCTCTCTCTCTCTCTCTCTCTCTCTCTCTCTCTAAAAACGTTCAAAAGCAAATTGATTCGGAAGAAACTCTGAAAAATTGGTGGATCTTAATCTGTATGATGCTTTTTATGCAATCGCTACTGTAACATCTTGACGCCGTATGTAGGGTGTCATTATAAATACAAAATTACCAACAAAACATTTAACGTTATATAAAAATTGATTTCTTTTATTTCCAATTTCTTAATTACATTGCTGTCTTTTTTTTCTCTTACCTAATTCAATGAATAAATGGATAATTTTTTGCCAAGTTCTAATGTTTCCATTTTTGTGTCGCCTGCAGGGCAGAGCGGCACTTAGGGATCACTTTACACGGCGTAATAAAAATTAAGTATATAATGAATATAAAGAAATAAATTAAAATGAATAGAAATTTTAGTGCATTTGTTTATCAAATTGATTCATCAATGTAATAAAGTTAAGGATGTAATTAAGTCAGTGATAAATTATAAGAATATTTATTGTCATCAAAATGAAGATGTAGGTCTATTCATATTCGATGAACCACGTGCTGATACCCTGGATCTTTGTCACGTTGTGATGTCGATGATTTCTGCAGAGTAGGCTATGCTGCACGGCATGGTTCAAAATGTAGAAAAAGGTAGCCTTATATCATTCGCAGCTGTAGCATATTCAAAACATTTTTTTTTACTAGTTAAACAACTTTTCAATTTTTATTATCATGCACTTTAACCATTTAATTATCCGGAAAATCAAGACGATTTGCTTTCATATCTTACAAACTCCCAGGTTGGGGAGTACCAATTTTAAACTCTTTTTATATAATCATAAATTAACAATTATCTGATGACAAGTGAAAATGAACTTGAAACATAATAACAACAACTTAGATTTGGTTTAAAGCAAGTTTTTAAAATATTTTATTCATAATTTTATACAGGTTATCATTAAAGAATTATTTTATTGAATTAATAAATAAAATAACGTCTCATTTCCCAATGAGCAATTTCTAACACAACCACAAATAGAGCAGCCGATAATGAAACTACAAAGCCGGTGACACATGTATTCCCTGGAACACTCTAGTTTAATACAGTTGCTGACGGAGAAAATGTTAATGATTATAAATAAATTTGGTTTTTAAAATGCATCGAAGAGGGGTTTTTTCTGCAGTGATTAAAACTTTACTTCACATGCACGGATCTAGAGGGGGTCGGAAGGATTTGCAAAGTAATGAAAAGTATATACAGAAGCAAATAAAAAATGACTTTGGAATCCAACCCCCCCCCCCCCCCCCCCCCCCCGAAAACGTAGACCACACCATCACCACCAAGGAATAGGTTTTTTTTCACGTTTGGAAAATGGATTTTAGGTTGTCTTTTGTGTTTTTTTTCCTCGCTTGTCAAGAAATTTTCTTGGTTAAATATACGTTTGGGAAGGGAATTTATTTATTTATTTTTTTAATTTTTTTATTTTATTTTATTTTGTTCTTTTTTTTTTTTTTAAATTTCATTTTATTTATTTTGATATTATTATTATTTTTTTTTTTTTTTTTTTTTTTGGTTGTCAAGAAATTTTTTGATTGGGAATTTTCTTTGACTCGGTAAAAATACCTGGATCCGCGCCTGTTTCATAAACTCGCACATATTAGATTTAAAACTAATCTTTAGCTGTCTTCCCTGAAGGTGTATTAGAGGCAGTGAGAGCCATACCTAGCTTGTGTTTGGACGGAGAGCTAAACTGCATGGAAAATAGTCCATCGTCAATAGGTGGATATGTTTTATTATCGACCAACCAGGAGGGGAGGTAATATTAGACTTGGAAAATCTTAGTAAAATGTTGATCCTCCTGGAGATGGAAAGTAAGGGGAGGGGGCTCCGATTTTTTTACTTTTATTGTTATTTTAGAGGAAGGGGTATTAAAAAAAAATTTTCAAGAGCTTTAAAAAGATGGTAGGCATTTCGAAATAGCTGTGTTGTCTTATATTCTAAATAATTGTGTTTGTTTATCCCCCGCTTACAGAACGAACTACAGTAAAACACTCTTATTACGAAGCGCCAAGGATAGACGTCTACCTTGCTTCGTTTTAAACGTAAATCGTTATAATCGTTAAGTTTACAGTATATTTTAAAGCCGCAAGGAATGAAAATCACTGCACTATATACGTCAATTCTTAATAAGCGTGTTTAGCATAAGCGTGTTTTACTGTAGTAATTTTTTAAATGAACGTAACAATTGTGACTTATTTATGATTTAGTCACGTGGTGATTCATTGCTATAAAAATGGTTTGATAACAGTAGATGTTCAACATTTTGAGGCAGAGAAAAGTCAAGACACCTTACTTGACAAAATTACGGTAAGTCAAAAAGCTTTGTGTGTGGAATTACAGAGAAAGAGAGAATAATAGAGAGGTTAAGCAGTTTACCGTGTGCGTCTACGTGTACGTGTAAACCTAAAAGTGTTTTACAAGTACGAGTAACTATCATCGAGTTCTGTTTAACAAACTGTGCGTGTAGCGGTACATGTAAAACGTCATTTCAACATGTCACTTTACAATCCATTCGTATCAAATAATTCTATGACTTTAATTAAAAAAGATACATAGATGTACGTAATAAACTCTCAATATCACAACAAACACCGCCTGAAAAATATACATTCTATATTTTGGGTTTAAGAAGTTACACGTTCTGTCCTACGTGTACATATGAATCTACACGTTGTGTACAACTTGTAGAATTACGCGCTATGCAAAACTGATGACGTAAATCGCAGTAAATTAGGGGATTTCCCTAGCTACACGTACACGTAGACGTACACGGTCATCTGCTTAACCTCTCTTATAGTCCCCATCTGTTATAAAATGTGCCCAGGTGATAAAAGGAAGAAGTATACTATGTTTTGGTGTCGTTATTATTATATAATTATGTATGCTCTTATATCTTTTCTTTATTACTAAACGAACTAAATGACTTAACTGAGCAAGAAACAACTTTGAAAACTGCATTGAACATACTACAACAGTTTAGGTACAGAATCTAGGACATGGCTTGACTGAAACATTGCGTTTTCCAAATTATAGCTTTTTGCAGGTAGATTCATTGGATTCGAAAGTTCCACTTTTATTTAGTAGTTACACAAGAGAATTTTACTGTTGAAAACGATTTCAGAAATAACTATAATCAGATATATCACTGTATAATGATTGCTAATTGAGATTTTTTTTTGCAGGTCGCAAAGACGTTGGAGATGAAAGTTCGAGAGTCTCTTGGAGATCTCTGCAAGTACAGTAGATGGTAAAAGATAAATCTTTTGAACAGTTCTGCTGACAGTTTGGACTTCAGCATTCAGTATTTGTATAAAACCGAGCAGCTTGTAATTAACAAGACGTATGCTGTATATTTTTTAATCAGAGTAATCGTAGACATGAAAAGTTTGCAAAATTTCTCTGCAATTATTCGACACATGCAATATTTCATTATGTAATTAAAAGGTTATGGTTACGTCATATTGTTCACTTTTTGTCTAATCTGTCCCTTTAATTGTCATACTAATCAAAGGGAGTCATCCTTCACTCTGTTCAACAATGGATCCAGAAATTTTTGAAAAACAAGCTAAAATACTTTCTGTTAAGTAGCTAGCCTATAACAATGATGTCAAATGATTTTTAATGAAACTACCAAAGGGTAGGATCAGAATACACCCTTGTGTAGACCCATCGGAATGCAATTAAGAAAATACAGAAGTCTGTATAGAATGGACAAAATTTATTACAATTATAGTGAAATAAGTAGCGTGTGGAATCCAGGTTTTCTTACATCAGTACATATACTAACTGTGTAAGAGAAAGTAATCACGAGTGAGACTCACTGACTCAGTGAATAGTAAACTTCACCAGCATGTCATCAGTATATAATTGACCCATTGAACATTTATAATAGACGTCAAGCATGTAATCCTTAAGCCCAAAGATTCATTGTAAAGTAAACCTCAGAAGTATGTCATTAGTATATATGCTCATTGATTCATTGAAAAGTACAAGTGTGAAGTTAGTAAGCTCCTTGACTCATTCTGCAGTTGATGTTACAAGCAGGTTATCTGTAATTGAAATATAACAAGCATGTCATCGATCAGTAAGCTCATTGACTTATAGAGTAAAAAGTTATAAGTACGCAAATAGCAAGCCCAGTGACTTGTTGTACAATAGACATAACAAGTATGTTATAAATAAAATCATTAATTCTTTGTAAAAATAAAAGGAAAGAAAAAAGACATCAAAAATATGTATAATCGGAAGTCTCATTGAATTCCTTTAGAGGAGATGACACAGTAAGTTCTCCGAATTAATTGCTAGTAGATGTTACAAACATGTACCCTTATTTGTTACAGTTTGCCTGGAGAAATAAAAAGAGGGGAGATAACTCCATATTTTTCCTCAGGAAGTGACATCCTTTTTGAATACGAAAACCTTAAGCTAATGTTCGAGAAAGATTCTAAGTGGCAGAACATCAAAATATACCACAACCCTGATGTTGGGCATTTCCTGTGTTTAGATGACGATATAAGTGGGTGACATTCTTGAGCAAATGATTTTTTTAACATTACGTGAAATATTTTGTAATTTTGCTGATAAAGAACATGAATATTACAAAGAGATTTTTGTTTTATGGAATTTATACCTTTTTCCCATCCGTAATAACACTTTAGTCCATAGATATAAATTATTTTGGTTATAATGAAAGATTGATTGATTTATTGTATGTTGTTTTACGTCCAATTCGACAATTTTTCACTCATATAGAGACGTCATCATATACCGGTGAAAGGCTTTAAATTAAGACCTTTACTCGTCACTCAAGGTCATTAAGCAGTGAGGGTTCTCTATCGTACCGACGCCTACCGTGACACGGGGCCTCGGTTTTTTAGGTCTCATCCGATGGACCCGCAACTTTCACTTCAAAGTGCAGTGTGCTTGGCGAAGGAACAGTTGCTACCTATTTTTTATCAACTTAGATCAGTCGCGGCCGTGATTCGCACACACGACCTTCCGATCACAGAGTGAGCGCTCTGCCGACTGAGCTACCGTGACGGTAGGTTATAATTAAATAAATAAGAATTCATGTCCTAGGGACTATATGAAGGTTTATTTGTATTCCATTGAAATTAAAAACTGTTCAATTTTAAATTCACATGCAAATCTGCTTTATTGGATTATATTCAATAAACCTGTGTTTTTGCTGCTTTTCAGTGATCGGCGAGAGTGATCTTATTTACACGCAGACGTTACTGGGCATCAATCGCAATGACTTTAGAGATAAAACAGTTCTGATTCTGGGAGGGGGAGATGGGGGACTGTTGTATGAATTACTGAAGGAGAATCCCAGACACGTGCTGATGGCTGAGGTGTATATCTTTAAGATTATAACAGATGGATTTTGACTAGGGCTAGGACGATACAACCTTTTTTATTTCAATACGATTTTTGAGCTACAATACGATATGTATCACGATATATTGAATTAGATATGAATTCTATTTTTGTATAGAAATGAACAAAACATTTCTTCACAAATAAGAATAATGTATTCAAAGAAGTTGCATATCTGTTGTAAAACAAAATTATATTACACAAGTGATGTTAATTATTATGTATTTCATATTTATATTAAGCATATTTATTTTATATATTAAATCCAAAATGTTAAGTTAACAAAGAAAAACATAAGTCAGAACTTTTTTGCGATATTTCGATATTTCTTCATATGTATCGATATGCGTATCATCCTCACAAAGGTTCAATATTATCGATATCTAAATATATCGTCCTAGTCATAATATTGACCAGTTCAATATAAAAAGATTTGTCGTGATTAAAAAAATCATTTATTTTATGACAGTCAAAAATGAAACATAAAATAAAGCTACAATACTACTGTAGGCATTGATGTACTATGATATACTTGAATACATTTTACATCATGCTAATTGAACTGAGCAGATATGTTATGATCAATATTAAGCATGCCGAAAAGCATTCGTTATAAAATTGGTGAATGCACGTATAAAACAAATTTGATTGTATACCATAGTTTTTCTGTAGAAATTGACAGTTGTAACTATTTAAAGTGAGAGCTTTGTAAGATGTTAGAACTTGTGTTCAAACTGTTTATTTAGTATTTATACATTGAAATATGTTCAAGTCCTAAGCTGGATGAAAAATTCATGGGTTTTTATATAGAGTATAAATAGGATTTGGTTTCAAATTAATTTTTTCTATACTTAAAGATTGATGAAGATGTTGTGCTGGCTTGTAGAACTCATATGCGCATAGTTTGTGAATCGGCAATGGATTCATTTGAAGGACCTAACTATAAGGTGATGCTTAAATCTGTTTTAACATTTAAACTTAATTTTTTTTAAATAACCTTTTTGGAATAGGAAGGACTTTAAAAAATTAGAATTTTCATTTCTATTATGGGTTAGAATATTGGTTCAAATTGAAACTTATAAGAATGTCATCTTATTAAAAAATGTTAAGCAAACTGAAAAAAAAAATAATTTATACAAGAAAATGAACAATGTCAGCCATATACCCAAACAATTTTCCTAGATTCTGTTTGAAGACTGTTTGAAAGTTCTTCAGGAATGTCAACAAGAGGGCCGAAAGTTTGATTACGTCATCAATGACCTCAGCGAATATTTCATCAACGCAAAAAATAGTAATGTCACAAATATAAATGATTGTTACTGTATTACGCTTTTATCATCTATTGTACACAAAACAGAAAAAAAAGATTTTTTTCATCATAATATTTCTTATCGCATTTCCCCTTGCGTAAAAGAAGGCAGTATGAATATTAATAATATTGAATTTTTATTGTACTAAAGCCTTCTCTTTTATTTGCTTCAAATGCATACCAGCCTCATTCTTTTAAAAAATATCAGTTTTTTTAATATTTTGTTTCAGCGAAGTTTGCTTATGATTTTGAAACAACATGCATAATTTTAGAGCTATCTTTGAAGATCCTCAATCAACATGGAAAATACCTGTCACGGGTACCTTATTTTATACTTGATGGTATTTTAAATTTTTATGACAAAGCAATTTGACTTATTAATATGTTGAAAAACACGTTATTGCAATAAATTAACTTTAAAAAGGCAACTTTTAAAAATATTTGGGTTGTCTTCTTTAAGGGCAACTGTGCAACTGACACTGAATTCCTGCATACGTATGAAGATGTTATCAGGCATCTAGACATGAAGTTTCAAAAGTCTGAGGTGTACGTACCGTCATTCAAGGAGAAGTATCCTTTATATCAACATGCGTGGTGCAATGTATTTTAAAAACAATTATTGAAAAAAGACAACTTGATTAAAATCAGATCTTTGTTATGCTCCGAAATTATATAGTTGCTGTACTCAGCGACTGTCAGAATTTCTTTGGCTTTAATCAGATTGTGAAAAAGACTAGTTTCTTATATTTGAGAACACGTGACATTTTTGTGAGATACAAAAAACACACATTTTTTGGGGCACATTCTGTCTTCTTTATTTTTGATGAGACCAGGTGAGTAAGAGCACAGCAAAATTGTAAATAAATAACGCTGCATGGAAAACATCGCTTTCTAAATTTCGTTAACCAGAATTATTCCAAGCATATAAGTGTGACACTGGACGTTCATTCATTTTATGTTGAAGAGATATTCAGTATATTATTAAAAATTAGGAAATTCAACAGAAACAGTATAACTGCTGTATACAAATCAACATTTGATGGACCTTAACTTTAACGAAGCTATTGTTTATACGAAGTTTGGAGAGAACAAGAAACATGAATGGAATAGATGTCTGTTATATAAAAAGGGGCTAGTGAATATAAGATTGACTGATAGAAACAAAAGTATAAAGACCCTGTTATTATCTTTCTTCCATTGGCATTACATTCTCAAAATGTTAGATATTTTGGAGATGCAAGAATAAGTATGGCTAGTGCATAGATACTGTGAAATCACTAATTTTCGTGGGGTTTTAATTTTCATTGTTTTAGAGGTATAAAGAGACTCACTAATGCATGACCACCACGAAATGTAAAATGTTATATACGTAACTACTAAAAAAATTCATCCACGAAATCAAACCCCCACGAACCAATACTGTTTCCTCAAACCACGAAAATTTGACCCCTCAAAAATATGTGATTTTACAGTAGTCAGTTTTGAGCTCTTAGGTCAAGTGCAGCATACAGTACCACTATTAAATTTAAAGGAGAACGGCCCTTGGTTCATTAAGAGGATATTTATAACAATTTTCTAACAATGTTTGAATTAAAAATAAAATACAAGCAATTTTTTTTACTATATGGGACACTAATTCTGACAAACAGTTGTTGAATATCAACATAATTATAGTGATTGATCAATCTTAAAAGTAATCTCTGTAACATATAACAAATTGACATTTATCCTATCATATATCATATATATCATATATATCATATATCATATCCTAATACCGCTATAATGTACAATCCAAGGATGATGTAAATACTCTTCTTTCCAACATTACTATATTTCGCTTTTATTTATTGATGTACTATAATTAAGTAATCAGCAAATTATAAATACATAAGGTACCAAAAAATGATGTCCCCACAAAGTCGTTACTGATAATAGATAAAAAAATATGGTCATCAACATATGCAACTCGCACCTAATTCAACGTTATCAATCCCACCTGTATGAGAACACGTGCATCTAACTGGATTTCCATTAATAACTTTTCGACCCCAGGATGGCCTTATACGTTCAATGACAAGTGAAAGGTTTATATCCAAATCACAGGAACAAAGATTTACTGCACCCATGCCCCTCGTTATTACTGTGTCGAATGTATAAGGGTCATACGGGCGGGAATATTTGTCTAGGAAAAGGAAATCATGTAGGCATAGAATGCAACTGGGTTGCGTTGACGATAGTGATCTGTAAGAAACTAACTAAAAATACATTTTTTACACTTATAAAACATGCATGTTAAAAACTGTAAAACGCGTGATTTAATATCATAGATTTTTTTAAAGATGTGTTTATTTACTTTACTGTTCAAACTTTGATTTCCCTCTTTTTCATTCTTTTGCAATCATCATGTTCGTTCTAACAAAAAAATATCTTAAAACATAAATACGTACTGATTTTGGAGACATCTATTTTACTCTGGGTTCGACCAACCGCATGCCATTAAAAACATTATTTATTTATTTATTTTTAATTTTTTACCTTTCTTTGTCCTGTTCAAAGGTGAGCGCCACTCTACTTTTTTTGTTTTGTGTCTCTTCAGGGGAGCTTAACTGATTTACGACATTCAATACTGTAACAATGGTTTCCGTCAAATTTGTCAGAGCATTAAAAATTCAGTCTCATTGAAATATTTCCCCCATGGAATTTTTCATAACAGTCCCTCAAGGAATTTCCACCCTCCTGTGATGTTATAGGTTTTTACAAAAACTGTTATGAATTTAAATTCATTCCCAACAGAATTATATCTTTTGAAAGAACTAGTCAAATGAAAACAGTTGTTTAGTAGAAGAATATAAACAAATTGAATATTTTCTTTATTTAATCAATTTTTCAATCTTTAGAGATGTGTAATGAACTTCCCACGATATCTGAATGTACGCAGGCCATAAAACAGATGAAAAATAACAAATTCCCTGGATTGGTTACCAGTCGATTTCTATCAAATATTCTGGAATGACATTAAAAAATAATTTTATGAATCACTAACTAAGACATTTGAAAAAGAGGAAATGATTTTTTCGCAAAAATTATCAATTATTTCACTAATACATAAAAAAGGAGAAAAGAATGATCTGAGAAATTATAGACCTATTAGTCTAACAAATTGTGACTAGTTTACTAATAGGTCTATAACTTTCTGTAGTCTGATAGCGAATTTTCGCTATCAGACTACAGAAAGTTATAGACATATTAATAAACAAAGATCAATCTGCATATTTCAAGGGTAGATATATTGGTGAAAATGCAAGACTTTTACTTGATATATTTGAATACTGCGAAACTTAGCAAAAATAAGGTGCAATCTTACTTCTTGATTTTCAAAAAGCCTTCGATTCTGAAGAATGGAACTTTATGTTCAGTACCCTAGAAAAATTTAATTTTGGAGAACAATTCATCAAATGGATGGAAATTATATATACAAGGCCTGTATTTCGTATAAAAAATAACGGTTGGGTGTCTAGAACCTGTAAAATGACAAAAGGTATTCGACAAGGATGTCCAATATCAGCATTGCTCTTTTTATTTATAGTAGAAATAATGTCCAAAAAAACTACACAATTCACAAGAATTAAGAGGTTTTACTAATGACTTTATGCTTAAAGAAATAAATATCCTCCAACACGCAGACGATACATCGCTCTTTTTATAAGATAAAAAATCTATAGAAAACGCAATAAAAATAATCGAACAATTTGGAAAGATATCAGAAATGCAACTCAACAAGAATAAATCTGAAAGAATATTATAAGGGCCTTTAAAAACAGATATGACAAATTATATGATATAAATATCACTAATGCACCCGTAAAATGCTTAGGAATATATATAGGTCATGATTCTAATCAGTGCTATGAAAAAACTTGACAGAAAAAGTTGATAAATTAGAAAAGGACTAACAATGTGGAACAATAGAAAGTTTACTATATACGGAAAATGTACAGTAATCAATATTTTAGCATTAACACAAATATACTATAGTTCAACTATATTGCAATATCCTAGAAACGAAACCATTAAAAAAATAAAGAAAACAATCTTCAATTTTCTTTTGGGGAAAAGAGAACGGATAAAAGAAATACTTAAATCGGAAAACAGAATGAAGGAGGGATAGGAATTGTTAACATTGACTGGAAATTGAAAGCGCTCAAGGCCGCATGGGTAACAACACGAATTTTCAATGAAAAACAATCATCTTTAAAGTCCTTCTTCACAGCTTGTATAGCGAGAAAATTCGTTTCACCAGAGTATCTTATTAAGACAAATACAACTAATACTGATGACATAAAACAAATATTTAAGTCATTACCGTTATTCTATTGTGAAATGATCAGTACGCTGAACGAAATAAAATACACAATACAAGGGAGATGACCGATGTTGAAATATTTTCTCTACCTATATGGTTAAACAACCTGGTTCGATTTAATGATGAAATTCTTTTCTACACAGATTGGATAAAAGTGGAATTTTATATACTACGGACCTGTTTAACGAAAACAGAAATTTTCATGACATCAATTATTTTTTGATATTCTTGTAAACAAATCAAATATTATCTGTGAATACAATACCTTTAAAAGTGGTTATGAAACCTATACAAAAATATCGCGATTTTTCAAAAGGAGCTTTTATATACACAGAAAAATCAAACAATGATATTACTAGAAAATAAACGAAAACTACCGATAAATTTGATAAGTAGTTAAATAATGTATGATATTTTTTTCAAAAAAAATTTCAAATACCCTTCTCTGAGAAATTTTGGTCAAAAAGTTTTAATTCAACTTTGAGGAAAATAAAACACACATCTATCAATCCAAAATTACTAAAATCAAAGATAAACAATTACCAGCATTTAATCATAAGCTCTTGCAAAATCTACTTAATAATAACAAATCTGTTCACAAATGGAATAAGAATGTATCAAACAAATGCCCGTATTGTGAAACACTAGAATATACAAAACATCAAATTTTTGAATGTAGAAATGTACAAGTGATTTGGGCTAATCTAGAAAATTGTCTGAATTTGAATATAAATGGAAAATGTTGTATTGGGATTTTTCTATGAAGAAAACAAAACTACTGTTTCATTCAATTATTCATTATCTTAAATAGCATTTTTTTATATATGAGATAAAAATGAAGCTAAGATATGAAATCAAAGAAGAAAATATGAATGATATTATATACTATGTAAAGACAAACCTAATGTATCAATATGAGATCTATAAAAGATTGGATGTTAACTTTACATATAAATGGTTTTATGATATTTCTATAGCTTTGTAATATTAATTATATAGTCTGACTATCTGAAGGGGTCTGTCCTTCAGTAGTGTTGCCCTGTTGGGGTACTTATTATGGACTTTGTAAGATGAAGGTTGTGCCCCACTGGCAACGAGACTGAATTCTCTAGAAATCAATTATTAATTCTAACAAATATTTTTATATTTTTTTTCTATATATAAAGAAATTAAATGATATTATTCAGATTTAAAAAATATTAGTAATGCATGTTTATGTTTATATATATATATATATGTATATATATGACACATCTATAATGTAATATATCCAATCCAATGGGCCCCTAGCACCATAGGTGAGGATTAGGCGGTAACATCCTAGGATATTTTATCCCAATTCCTGTTGTATTTTTGAAAACAAAGAATGAAAGAAAAAAATACCCAATCTTTAAAAATGTTGCTAAGGGCAAAAACTCCTTCTCATGTATATACGGTACCAATTTTGATGCACCAGATGCGCATTTCGACAAATTATGTCTCTTCAGTAATGCTCAAGACGAAACGTTGGAAATCCAATATATATATATAAAAAAGACTTGGAAGAGCTGAAAGAAGATGCCAAAGAGTGGAGCCAAATACGTGTAAGGATCAGAGCTATGCATGAGGGAGATAATCCTTAATTTGAAATAAATTTCTAAATTTTACCACAGCAATTAAATATGTATCTGTATTTTCAAGCTAGTACCGAAGTACTAGGTTACTGGGCTGTAGAGACCCTCGGGGACTAACAGTCCATCAGCAGAGGCCTCGACCCAGGGGTCATAATGTAAATCATATACGGTACCAATTTTGATGCACCAGGTGCGCATTTCGACGAATTGTCTCTTCAGTGATGTTCAGTGATGATCTTCATTTATAGGTATTTTCTTTATTGTACTTCCAATGTAAAATGGTTTTCCTTATATGCACACTTCATATGAATTTATAAAGTAACAATTATTTTGGAACTTTCTACATCAGAATTATGTATTTGAACCAGTTTTTATGTAATTTTTATAATACTGTTTACTATAAATTTTCAATTTTTAATGCTGACATATATACTTATGTTTATTTCAGTCTTACATCTTAAAAAAATATGACAACCTATATATTCTTGGCAATTATTAATTAATTTAAACTATATTCAGAGAAAATGAATTCAGTTTTTCTAAATTTAACCCTTAAAATTGTGAGGGTGGAAATACCTTAATTTCTTTAATTTCTCCGTTTAGATAAGATTTGTCATTCTTTTGATCCTGTTTTCATT